GCTCTCTGGAAGAAGAAGAAAGGACATGTATGTAGTTGATTGGAACTCAGCAAAGGAAGGGATCTGCTTGGTGACCAAGGCAGATTCAATTTTAAGTTGGGAATGACACAACAAATTAAGCCATCTCAACTTCAAAACTATCAACAAACTGTCCAGAAAAGGATTGGTGAAAGGACTTCCTGAAATCAATTTCAAGAAGGACCATCTCTGTGATGCTTGCCAAAAAGGAAAACAAACCAAGGTATCATTCAAATCAAAGAAAGTGGAATCATCAACTAGGCCCTTAAACCTACTACACCTTGACTTGTTTGGACCAGTTGAACCAACAGGCTTAAGTGGTAGAAGGTACACCCTGGTCGTAGTGGATGAGTATTCTAGATACACTTGGACTATATTCTTAAAGAAGAAGAATGAAACAGAGAAGAAACTTCCTGAATTAATGAAGTTAATTCAAAATGAGAAAAGTCTCTCAATTCAGAAGATCAGGTCAGATAGAGGTACTGAATTTCTCAACTTCATCATAATTCAGTACTGTGAAGAAAATGGAATCTATCATCAAACCTCAGCAGCAAGAACACCTCAACAAAATGGTGTTGCTGAAAGAAGGAACAGGACACTCAAAGAAGCTGGAAGGACAATTTTAGAAGCAGCTGGATTACTCAAAAGATTTTGGGCAGAAGCAATCAACACAGTTTGCTACACTCAAAATAGAAGTCTTATTCATAAAACTCTCAAAAAGACACCATATGAGTTATGGAAAGAAAGGAAGCCTAATGTTAGTCATTTCCGTGTGTTTGGATCAAAATGCTTTATCTTAAACAATGGAAAAGACTATCTCAAGCCATTTGATCCCAAATCTGATGAAGGGATATTCCTGGGCTACTCAACAACAAGCAAGGCATTCCGGATCCTCAACAAAAGAACTATGGTGGTAGAAGAATCAATTCATGTGGTGAGTCATCCAAATCAAAGGTCACTGGAAAGGCTCCAAGCTGCCTTCCAAATAGCAATGTTCAAACAGATGGAAAGGCAGTTGACTCAAACAGCAGTCCAATGCCAGCAGTTGACTCAACTGTCAGCCCACTGCCAGCAGGTGACTCACCAAAAGACAACTTTCCATGCACTCATGACATCCCTAATCATCCTATTCTACCAGAGGATAGTGAAGAAGAAGAAGAGGAAGATAACCAACAACTTCAAACCAACACAACCACATCTGACATTAGATGGTTGAACAAACATCCTCCTCACCAAATCATTGGAAACATCCATGAAGGGGTTCGTACCAGATCATCAATCCAAAAAAGAAGCATTGTTCTCATGCTTCATGTCTCAAATTGAACCCAAGAAAATTGAAGAAGCCCTACTTGACTCTGACTGGATACAAGCCACGCAAGAAGAAATCAACCAGTTTGAAAGAAACACTGTATGGGAGCTTGTACCCAGACCTTATCATCAACATGTGATAGGAACCAAATGGGTATTCAGAAACAAAATAAATGAGGAAGGCACCATTATCAAAAATAAAGCAAGACTAGTAGCCAAAGGCTACTGCCAGGAAGAAGGAATAGATTTTGATGAAACTTTTGCTCCTGTTGCCAGACTTGAAGCAATAAGAATATTCCTAACTTATGCTGCTCACAAGCAGTTCACTGTTTATCAAATGGACGTAAAGAGTGCCTTCCTAAATGGTCTACTAGAAGAAGAGGTCTATGTGGAGCAGCCACCTGGATTTGAAGTTAACAGAGAGAAAGATCAAGTCTACAAATTAAAGAAGGCACTCTATGGACTCAAACAAGCTCCGAGAGCATGGTATGATACTCTCTCTCAATATTTAGTGAGCAATGGATTCACTAAAGGCAAAATAGACAAAACTCTCTTCAAAATTGAAGAAGGTACACACGTACTACTTGTCCAAATTTATGTTGATGACATAATATTTGGAAGCTCAAACCAAGCACTATGCAAGAAGTTTTCAACTCTCATGCAAAGCAAATTTGAAATGAGCATGATGGGAGAGTTGAACTATTTCTTGGGACTACAAGTAAAGCAGACTCCTCAGGGTATCTTCATCAATCAAGCCAAATACACAAGAGATCTCATGAAGAAATTCAAGGTTGAGAACAAGTCCACTGTGAAGATTCCTATGAACACTTCACAAGGTCTAACTCCCAATGAAGAAGGTAAAGATATTGACCCTACACTTTACAGAGGATTGATTGGATCCTTGTTATACCTTACAACTAGTAGGCCAGACATATCCTACTCAGTTGGGGTATGTGCAAGATTTCAATCAAAACCAAAAGAAAGCCATCTTCTAGTAGCAAAGAAGATACTGAGATACCTCAAAGGCAATCCTAACTCTGGATTATGGTATCCAATAAATGGAGGCTTTGATCTATGTGGCTACTCAGACTCAGACTTTGCTGGATGCAAAATTGATAGGAAGAGCACTTCTGGAACTTGTCAATTGCTTGGAGGAAGACTAGTCTCATGGTTTAGCAAGAAGCAAAACTCAATTGCTACAAGCACAACTGAAGCAGAGTACATAGCAGCAGGCAGCTGCTGTGCTCAAATACTCTGGATGAAGCAACAATTGAAGGACTATGGGGAAGAAACTAAGGAGATTAGCATTCTGTGTGATAACACAAGTGCTATTGTAATCACTCAAGCCAAGGGTATTTTAAACTGTAGATGCTGGAATTTCAGTTGCAAGGAATATTCAAACTCCCCATAATATAGAGTTCATTGTGACACGGTCCTTTCATTTAACGAACATTTAACTAACTCTAGAACTTGATATTGTGTCTATTCCAATAACTTAGCCTCTATCTCTCAATCTTTCTAGATGATCCATAATGATCATATTCGATATCCAAAACGAATATATCTTTGCATTGGGCAATAACATTATGATCCATCTAGATATGAGAAGTAGAATGTTCTCTCTTAATCTATTACGAGGAATGAATCCTTTCTTGGCTCAACTACTATCCATATGCTTCATGATGTACCCAACACATGTCCTGTCTACACTGATTAGAGTGCAAGCGTTAGTCGTGATCAAAGCACATCAATCCGCACATGTAGTACGTATTGACCTCAAGCATTAGTCATGGTCATGGTTTTGTATTACACTACTCTATACGCCGATAATCTCATATACACATGAATAGAACTTATCAAATGCATGGTTTCTCGGTGGGTATGCCAATATTCTCTAAAATATTTATGTGACCATTATAAATGAAAGGAACTCATAGTTGTGAGATCAACTATACTTTCTAAGAGTATGATGTAGTTCACATACCAGTCTTATCGAATATCATCAATATTCCTTTCTTGATGATCATTGATTGGGGCTATTTTAGGACCTTATGTTATATCATATAAGTTCCCACTTACTTAGTGACAACATAAGTCCAAGGGAACACAATTATGAATAAAGAATTGACAATCGAAATGCTTGATCATTTCTAGGACATATATCTCTTAAAATGATTGTCGCTAGGACACATATACTAACATACCCTTATACTCGGTAATCTATAAAATTTTTGCAAAAGTCATGGCTAACCGCTTAAAAGGAATATTAAATTCTCTTGTTTCGGTTAATCAAAACGTGTTTGTACCAGGCCACTCTATTGTGGACAATATTATGATTGCTTTTGAGACCCATCACTACCTTAAGCGTAAGACTAAAGAAAAAGAGGGATTTGTTTCCCTCAAACTTGATATCAGTAAGGCTTACGATAGAGTAGAATGGAGTTTCCTAGCTAATGTGATGAGGGCAATGAAGTTCCCTCCAAAATGGATCCGGATAGTCCAAGAATGTGTGTATCCACTGCATGTTGACTATTTAATTCCGTCTCATAATAGTGTACTGGGTCTGATTACCCCTAAACGGGGATTACGACAAGGGGATCCATTTATCCCCTTATTTATTCATCTTAGTTGCCAAAGGGCTCCGTTTATTGATCAGGCGCAAGCAGAGTATGTGCAAAATCTATGGTGTATGGCAAGGGGGTGCCCCGGCCCGAGGGTATCTCATCTATTTTTTGATGACGATAGTTTTCTCTTTTTTAGAGCAAATATTGAGGAATGCACTATGGTTAAAGAGATTCTTAACACCTACGCATCTGAGTCAGGACAAAAAATTAATTTTTCTAAATCTTCTTTCTTTTTCAGTTGAAATATCCCTGAACAGGTTAAGGAGAATATTTGCATGTTACTTGATGTTTCAAGAGAGGGGAATTAATGATATCCAATATTTAGGGCTGCCTGCGTTAATTGGTAGGCGTAAAGCTCAAATTTTGAGTTATTTGAGGGAACGAGTTCTGAAAAAAATTCAAGGATGGAGTAACAGATTCCTATCTAAAGCTGACAGAGAGGTACTTTTGAGAAAAATGTGGTTCAAGCTATGTCTTCATATGTAATGAAGATTCCTATCTAAAGCTGACAGAGAGGTACTTTTGAAAAATGTGGTTCAAGCTATGTCTTCATATGTAATGAATGTTTTTCTATTACCTTTGGAGTTATGCTCGGAATGGTTATTGGTGGAGAAAAAAAGACTCGATAGGGTGTGGGATTCGCTAGAAAAAGTGGTATCATACCTATTAATGATTTGATTGGACCAAATCACTATTTCACCATTTATTTATTTTGAAATTATTTAATTGCAACATTGTAATTGATTCATATGAAAAAAGTGTGATATCGTATTAAGGGTACTGTAGATATTGCATATTCTATATTGTACAAAGTATATTTTACTCAAGGTTGACCTGATTGATCCTGTTAGATTATTTGTCCGACACCGGAAAGCTATAAAAATAAGAAAGCACTATATAAGGCTTTGGGTTACTCCTTCTATCAGGGTTGACTTTTTATGATGGAACCCCGGGTCTTAACATGTTATCAGGGCCAACTCCGATTGTGTTTTGACATCTTGTTCAGCACTCATGATTGAGGGTAGCTTGTTAAAGGTCTATTTGGCCCACTTATACATTCCGATATTGTTCAGCCCGGTTCAAGCTGACGGGGCGTGTTATTAGAGTATTTGTCCCAAACCGGAAAGCTATAAAAACAATAAAACACTATATAAGATTTTGGGCTACTACTTCCCCTATCAGAATTGACCTTTTAGGATATAATAGAACTCTAGATTTTGACAGATCTAATGCTGGTCTGGTCGGGATGACTCTCCAAACCTGACTTGTCACGTGACCCGATCATTTATCCTTGCCAGCTAGCTCCCTAGTTTGGCTTTTAAAACATAGGCATTTACACTAAAAATAATCAAAATGTAATTGAAAATGCGCACAGTTATACACTTAAATTATTTTTAAAAACTTGTCTAAAACATTAGACAACATCTTCATCGAAATGTGCTTTGGCAATATCTCCAACTTCTATCTCTCCATTTGAAGACTTGCTCGGGGTTATATCTTCATTGTTGGTAGATATATTACCAGTTGATAAAATATCATCATCCTCTACTGATTGTGAAGAAGCCTTATCGTCTTTACTCTTTCCCCATATCACTGAATATAGTCCAACAATAATAGTCAGAGCTCCAAAAACCCTACATAGAATCGGGCAAACCATGTTAATGATCAGTTAAGTTGCTCCCTCCGTCTCATAAATTAAAGATGTTTGAATATTATCAACCGTTTACTTTTATACAAAGTCATACAACCTATATACTGCAAACATTGCTTTGTGCATAAAGAATTAATGGAACTCTAGATAAAGTCCAAAATCAGTAACTTTAAATTATATATACCGGTGAAAAAGATTCATCCAAATAGAAGATCTTTGAAAAGCTAGAAAACAAAGTTGTTTGAGAGAGAGAAGCAAAGTGATTACTTACTTTCCATAATCTAATTGCTCTTGAAAGATGAAGGATCCAATCATGGCGACCATAATCATGCCTACTGGATTAAATGCAGTAACAAAAAATGGTCCCATTTCATTCATGATTACTCCCGAGACATAATAAACAACTCCAGATCGAACAATTCCCTGCATATATTATTGATTAGTTAATTAGATCAACCATATTCAAATAATATTTCAAATATAAGGAATTGTTCATATGATGATTGATGAGTAACGTACATTGTAAATATAAGCCACTAATATGATGTCCCACCGTATAGACCATATAGAATGATCATCACGCTCAACCACTAGAGCTAAAACAAGATTTTGCAATGCCCCAAATGTGCATATGAGGGTTGTCAGCGATAGTCCAGCTGGATATGATTTTAACGTGATTGCCTGTTGACGGAAAATATAACACATTGTAAGTGAATCTCTAATTGGAATGTAATATTCTAATCTAATACTCCCTCCGTAACATAAAAATCTTCCCACTTTCCTTTTTCGTCCGTAACAAAAAAATCTTCTCATTTCTAAATCTTCCCATCATACCCTCAATAATTTTGAAAATAATACACTATTACAACTATTTTTTTTATTTATCCTACATTCCATCACATTATTTCACTATATTCCCATCATACCCTCAATAATTCATATCCTCTTTCACTATTCTTAATCTACCTACTTTTGAAATGGGGAGGTTTTTAAGTTACGGAGGTAGTATGAATCTAATATGAAGTATATGACCAAAATAAGGATAGTCTATAAAAGTGAGACCTAAACTTTTACGGAGTATTTACTATATGACCAAAATAAGGACAATGAAAATTAATAGAGAAAGTTCCGGAAATAGGACTATAACATTTTGAAAATTCCAAATTATGACTGCTATATTTTTTATTCCCAAAATAGGAGTAATTAGTCCAAATTTTGAAAATACTGTCATGTTTGAAATCTGGTACTGCCAAAACATGGCAGCAATTAGTCCTATTTTGTACAAGCATGACAGTCCTATTTTGGAATTTTCAAACCTTTTTAGTCTTATTTCGAGTAATATTCTCAAATAAATATGATCTAAAATCTTTTAGTGACAATAACTATGATCATTTTTACATTGCAGTGACTATAAAATTGTGTATTCTTCCACGTACTTTAGTGACATTTCCCTCACCAATTTTATTGCAATAATATCTTTGGAAAAACCTTATATAATTTTGAGTCATTAATTGACGGTGTATGTATACATAATTCTAGCTTACGGTACATTAAACATGTATGTAAGAATTTTATAACTAACTTTAGTAATCAACTATTTTATCAAACACATACTTTTATATTATGTGCGCTGGAATGTGTAATAATTCAAATAAGCAAGGCCGATGTCATTTTTCTGGATGAATTATATTTGCTTGAATTATTGAAGTGGACTATTTTAGCTATTTTTCATATATTTATTTATTTATTTGTTTATTTTATTAATAAAATACTTCCACAAAGTTTTTAGTTAAAACATTTCCATTTCACATTTCCCAACACCCAACTTTGACTTTTAATATATTTTATACTCTATTAATAAAAAATTAAAACTCAACTTTTGAAAATCCAAAATTAGATGAATCTAACTATATTTATTTTAAAAAACCAATAAGTTAATAAATAAAATGTGGTCAAAGTAAAACGTATGAATTGTATAAAATTAAACATGTTTCATTTATTTTTTTGATAACATGTTTCATGTATTTAAAAATGGGTACATGAAGAATTGAATGTTGTTCCAGAATTTTTAGGTTAAAATGTAGTCCGTACATATATATACCTGAAGAATGTAAAAGCAGGACCAACTAAAACATCCTGCGGCGATCATAGCTGCTCCTTTGACATGATGATCGTGGTGTGGGGCTGTTGCACTAACCGATTGCTGGATTTGGTGTTTGAGCGTCCATGGAAATTCAATAATGTGCCCTCTTACAAGTGTCATTATCATTGCACCCCCTATGGTTAACGTTGTACCCATGATTTTGCTTTGGCTGTGCAACCGCCTGATGTTCACCTCTTCAAGCCTATCATCATTCACCACAAATGGTCAACGGCAACGCATTTTTAGAGGTAATCTTTCATCACTTCAATCTTTCTTCGGTTAATTGTCTTTCATCAAATTTTCAGTAATTTTATGAAATCGGAAGGATCGTCTGTTGTGTACTATACAGTCCCAAAACATGATTACCCAGTACCATAATTAGTTTAGTGATTAATCATTTGAATGTCTATGCATATGAAGGATTGATATAAATTAGAAGTTCATGCTGGTAAATCGGTGTTGAAACTTTGTAAGTAAAGTGTTTGACAAAAGTCCTCAAAGAATCATAAACTCTAGAGTATATATTTTGAAGGGAAAACTGTCAAATAGGTCCTCGAACTTTCATAAAAAAGTCAATTAAGTCCTTCTATAGGAGACTCTGTCCAGTCGTCGCGATTTGGGGCGGTTCCCGGTGGATTTTTTTGATGAAAGTTTTTGAGCATCTTATTCACCAAGTCTAGTTTACTCATACCAAATTTCAGCTACAAATTCAATCGGGAACACATTCAAATTAATTCTTAAAGATAACTGCGCATTTTTGCGTTCTCGAATTAATTTGAATTTTTGCGTTCCCGATTAAATTTTTAGCTGAAATTTTTATATGAATAAGATGCTCAAAAAATTTCATCAAAAAATTCCACCGGGAACTGCCCCAAATCGCGACGGCCGGACAGAACCTCCTATAGAAGGACTTAATTGACCTTTTTATGAAAGTTCGAGGACCTATTTGACAGTTTTCCCTATTTTGAATGCTGAAATTCTCTCACAATGCTCATACTTGATCAAACTAAGTTAATCATTTCTGATATCATTTATAGGTTTAGTTAAGTACAGTTTAGTTTAGGTTCAAGAACAAAAGCCTACTAATTACTAAAAAAACCTTTTGTTTAAACTAAAACTTTCGCTCGAGTGTTTTTGTATGATGTCAATTATTTCAGTTGGTCATTAAACTGTTTTTGTGGGAAAGTCCAATAAACAATCACGAGTATATATTTGGTTGCTTATATTGCTTTACCAAATTACATGATGAGTGCATGACAATACAAATATGACTTGGTGCCGAAAAAATCATTACTCTCTAGTCGGAGCCTAATCGGCTTAGGCTTTCTTTGCCACCCGACTAGCGCCTAGCGGTATTTAAAACATTCGCCAGGACCTATATATTATGAATAAGAACTTGATGATCTTCTTATTATGAATTCCCTAATACGCTTGGACATGAAAACTAATTATTGATTTGAGTTGATTGTGGAAGTATGAAGCATGTACCTGAATGTCCAAGCCAACAAAAAGGTGATGGCAGGAAGAAGATTGCACATTGCTGCTGCAAATGATGCAGTTGTGTACTTCATCCCTGCGTAATACAGGTTTTGGTCGATAACCGGCCTGCACCCACACGCATGCAGTGACACAATTGAAGCAATAAGTTAATTAATTACCTCATTTAACTTAAGCCGGCCGTAACGTAGTAATTAAATAGAACTATGTATATGCGAGCTGAGTTTCAAAAACTTACTCAAACAAGGCCAGTAGCATTATCTTCCAGAAGATGCCGAGGGTCATTCTTGGTCTTATTTTCCTATATATACATAAACACCGTACGTGAATACCCTTAATCAGCTCTTTAGATATTGCTAATTAAAGTTAACACTTCCCTAGCTGCACATATATAAATTAATAGTATGAATTCAAACTTATATTTTTAAGATAAGAGTATGCCCTTATCATAGTATGGTTGTAAAAACCACTACTCATCATTTTAATAGATTTGTTGTTATTCTAAAATTTGATGCTACTAGCTTTCCGTATGTTTTATAACCTTTATCCTGAATAGGTTTTGGTTTGACTCTCCTACTCTTTGTACTCTTTTTATTTCTAATGAACTGCCGAGGTTTTCCCTAACCCTCATCCCAAAACGTTTTGATTTTGGATCGAAACCGGGTTAAAGAAAGATAAGAATATGCTCTAGGGTGTAATTTCTATCGAAATAAAATAGCTAAACCTCAACACTATAAAATTTGATGCACAAAATTAAATCATTAAATTAAATTCAGTTAACCAGATAGGATTGAGACAAACAAATTGAAACATATTAAGTGATAGATATGCATGAAGGATATTATTGATTATTCTTTATAGGAAATTGCTACACACACATATAAATTCATCATCGATTTTTAATTCGTAAAGTTTTTTGTTTCTTTTACAAAATCTTGAAATGTGTCTTGTTTTGAATTTCCTTTCAAAGGGTTTACTTTTTTCTTTTCTCTTAATTTCTAAAAGGTACAGATTTTTTATAAAATTCTTGTTTATTTGGTTTTGTGAAGAATTGTCCAAGGGATTCCTTGGACAGTGGACACACACATAGAGGAGTAAAGCATAATTAAGTCACTCACATAAATAAAACTTTTTTGTTTTATTATTATAAAAGACTCATTTAGTCTTAATAAAGGATGAAAGCAGCGAATTTATATTTTATTTTAGATGTCGATCAATGACGAGTCCTACATTTCAGAAAAAAATGAGATGCTATATAATCTTACTTGAGACATTGAATTGTGTGTTTTAGTCCTATTTGAATTTTCCCCTCATTGTTTAAAAAGTTTTTTGTGACAATATATTTTATTTTACACCACTACTTGCATATATCATATTTTCGACACAAGATTGTTTAGTTTATTCAGACAAATAAAACACGATTTATACGTGTGATTAGTGTGATGGTGGTGCACTGGTGCGTACCAGCGTCTACCGCTCTAGATATTGCAATATATATAATCAAAGTACCCATCATTTCCAATACTTCACGATATCTTTTTCGTGTTAAAAAAGAGTCCTTATTAATTAGCATATCATCAACAAACCAATTTTATTGTCTTGTATCAGTTCTTAAAGCGTTCAAAATATGATAAGTTTAATTTTGTTGGCCTTCTTCCTTCTTCTTTTAATATAACAAAGGTTTTTAGTCGTCAGCAAAGCAAGACAGCACATATATATAAACGTAAACAAAAAACGTGAAATTAAAGAAACAACCCTATGTAGGATGAAAGAAAGAATACTTAAATAAAACTGAAAACTAGACATGAGTAATAAATATGATCATGCATGTTAAGCCTCAACCAATTCGGAATTTAAAAAATTCTTTAAATATAATTGAAGAAAATTTCAAAATTTTGTTAATTTTTTTCAAATTATTTTTTGTACTGGTCAAGCCCAGTTTGAGCTTATAGACATGTCTACAAATCTGATAAAATTAGATTAAATAATAATTAACATAGTACTAGATTTAATCAATTATGAAGTTCAGTAAATGAAAAATAAAATAAAAATTTACATTAAAATTCTGAAAAATTTAAAATGCACTGGACTTGCACGACATAGTCCTAGATCCATTCTTCCTTTTATATTCCACAAAATTGCGTTCATATTTTTCCAATTTCTTTTTTTGTACTAGCCAAACCCAGTTTGAGCTCGTGCGGACGCCAATGCGTACACACATATGGACAGATCTACAGATCTGACTAAAATTGAATCGGATTAAAGAATAATAATAATACTAGATAAAATAAACATGAGGTTGGGTAAATCATGAAAAATGAAATAAAATAATTTACAGTAATTTAGAAAGTTAGGAAAAAATTTGGATGCACGAGACTTGCACACCATGATTGTAGCTAGTGTAGATCAGTTTATCCTTTTATAACTCTCCGGCTCCCCAGGGAGTTTACATATGTATGGCTCCTGAAGAGAAAGTAAGAGAGGAAACGAAGAAGAAAGGGGACCTTTCAAAGACTGCGGCAAAGGGAGCAAAGACGGCGGCGGCGATGAGATTCCGGTAAACACCAAAAATGTAATGGTTCATTCCCTGATTCAGTGCTGCCTTTGAAACCAGAGAAGCGGCGGCGTAGCTAACTTGCAAGAACACCACGCCGATGTATGGCTTCGCATGCTTCAACCACCGCTGCACCACCACCACCAAGCTCCTCTTCTCATTCCCCATATCTGATTCTGATCTCTCTCTCTCTGTATATGATGACTGATGAGGAATGGAGGATTGAGGAGCTACCTCGCTACTATATATAATCTTAATCTCGCTCTATATATGATGAGGATCGGAGCTAGCTGCTAGTATATATAACAAGGAGTATATATTTTAATCTATCAATCAATTATACGTATGTATGTATGTATAAACTCTCTGTGCTAGCTATCGCATCGGTCTCTCTGGCTGGCTAGCCGCTTCAGCTCATCCATGTCTGCGCAGATATATAGAGATGAGAGAGAGGGAGAAACATGCGCAGGGTGGGATCAAGGGGGGCGAGTGACGTGGCCGACCATCCTCAAAGTGTTTTACGCTTGTACAAGGTTGTCATTGTAATGCATGTTTTCAATTCTAGCCACACTCCGGAAAATTGAGAATAAAATCTCAAAACGCAAAAATAGGATTACCCTGTTTATATTTCCAAATATGTGTCATTTGTGCTTTCTTTTCTTATACTAGCTACTCTTACCTCAACTTAATAAGAAAAACATTCTTTATTTATGATAAAAGCTTGATAAGATTTTAATCTATAATAAAATCATAAAAATAGAGAAATTTTATAAAATAAAAAAGAGAAGATTTTGCGCTCTCATAAGAATGCGCATGCATGGACATTCGCACGAGACGTGCACGCAATGCGCGAGGCGAAGACGCCAGATATTGAGCGCAAGCACGGTTGTGCCCAAGACCGCATGAGGCCCAAAACGCCTCAATTATGAGTTTTTTCTATTTAAATAGGTTGTAAACCCATGTTCGGGCCTATCTCGGTCTCTTCAAATTTTAATAAATCCGGCGGATTCATAAAAATTGCCAAAGACAAAGGCAATTTCATTTTAATTCCAACGGGCCCACAAAAATCAAAACTGCTCGAATTTCTGGCAGTCTTTTTACATGGACGACTTTCTAGGACATGCGACTGAAAGCGATCGTCGTCCCCCTATCTCAACTCCGGCAGAAATTGCGAAATCAAAATTCAACCAATTGATTTGCAAAAAATCAAAGTTTGTTACCTCAGAGAATTGCCTGCCAACGGACAACTTAAACACGCAACTAAAAATCTACAAGAAATCTCAAAAGAATAAAAGGCGCCACAACATGAGAACTAGATCGCAGTCTAGAGAATTTCCTTGGGTTTAGTTTTAAGTGTTTCTTTCTCTGTACTGTTTTATTTTGTTTCCTTTCTTTCCTTTTTGCATTGTACTGTTTCTTTTTTCAATAAAATTCACTTTTCTTCAAAAGAAAAAAAAAAGAGACAAGCCTGTGACGAAAGTTGTATTGTTTTTCAGCATTGATTCGTTAGAATTGTGGGATTGTTTATAAGTTTTTCCTTTCAGTTAGACAAACAATTCTCACGTTTTCAATTATGTTGTTAATTCGATTATGAATTGTAAGTAGTTATATTTAAGGATTTGAGATTGGTGAAGGGGCGACATATGATCTAGGTTTCGTTTTTTTATGCATTAATTGTATGATTATTATTTAATTTGTGTGTGAATAATTTATTTTGTTAACTTTTATGACCCGAAATAGTCATTCGGATTATAATTGTACATAGAATATGTTAAGAGAGATCTAAATTATTCTAGGACATTTTTACATACACCTTAACACTTGTTACGAGATTAATTAGCACGGTTAGGAAGTTTTGGCAACAATATGATTTAGAAGCTAAGATTGTCGCATTAGAGATCAACTTTGATCTCTAAATCGTTGTAGTACTTGATCTGTCCCATGAGAGTGATAATAATTTAATATTGATAGAGTTGCTCATTTAACTAATTTTCATGTAATTAAGGCTGACCAATCTCGAAATATAGTTGCACCGGAATCAAACCCTATCTCATTTTTGTCATTAATTCGTAAGATCCAACCAACTTAATTTACTTTCATGCTAAATTTATTTTCTCAAACCTATCCCTCACATTCACATTTAATTTATTTATTTTAATCTTTGAAATCAATTAGCACTTAATTCCCTTTTTCGTCCCTGTGGAGACAACACTCGTACTTATATCATACTATTCATATTTAATTTAATTGCGAGAAAACTCACATCAAATATCTTCCACTTCAACTGATTTTTTAACATATTTGGGTAGATCAGCAATGGAGTCAACTGAGTTTCTTTGTGTTTTCCCCATCTCTGGCATTGGCGAAGGTAACAAGGTGACCGGTGCTGATTGGGTCCCGAGTCTGACACCAGACAGTTCCCAACATGTAATTATATACTACCTCTGTCCCCTTTTAAATGTCCCGGAGGAGGGTGACACGAGTTTTAAGAAAAGTGGGTTTGTGTGGTTGATATTAATTGATAAAGTAAGAATAAAGTAATAATGATTTTGAGCCACACACTACAAAAAAAACATCAAAATAGGCACGGACTTGGTACGGATTGGGCGACTTTGGCACGGACCGTAACTTATTTTTGGCACAGCGTCGTGCCAATTAGCTGGTGACTAAATGACTTTGGCACGGAATTTGGCACGGATTTGATTCATCCGTGCCAAATCCGTGCCAAATACCCTATGAATTTTGGCAAATCCGTGCCAAAGCTCCGTGCCTAATCCGTGCCAAAATCGTTGTTTTTTTGTAGTGACACAAACTTTATCAAATAAGGTATGAGACATTTAAATATGGACATCCCAATATGGTAAAACGAGACATTTAAAAAG